TTTCGCTGGCATGGTGTTTTATCCGGAAGTCTTAATATCCTTGAAAATCTGTTTTTGTCTCAATGAATTGGAGGAATTTAAAAATTCACTGGCGTATACAGATGAATTGGATTTGAACAAGATTGATGAGTGCATACCAGGATGACTTCTTTTTAATCTTGTGCATACACATGGTACGTGTGTCATATTGCTGGCTCTAAGCAGACTAGATTTGATATTTTTAAGGGCATGTGTATCCGGTATATTAAAAACAATTGCATTGCTAGATCGTCTTATTCTTTCAAATACCTCTGATGCAACACGATCTAGGAAAATATTTATGTCATTCATTTGATCTGGAGTCTCTGTGAGGTTGTGGTTGATGAGATATTTAGGCGGATTGAGAATGTTCATGTTTACTTGCAACTTTTTTATAGCATCCATATGGTTGCAGTTGCGATTATCATCACTGTTTACCATCAGATTTTTTAACATGTCTGGAATGGAGACAACTGGTAAAAGCTTGTCTGCTTCCGGAAAAACGGAGTGGCTCATCTAGTTGAAACTGTTGGAAATCGTGTCAGTAGTGGTGTTAAATTGTGTCTTTTTCCTACGTTTGGCTGAACGCCTAGGAACAGGGGTCTTCATTTTCTTTTGTGGTATGATAAGAAAGTGACGTATAGCAAGTGGTTTGAACAGAATGTTGGAAATAAGGGTGAAAAAACCAATTCCGAGGGCTCAAGTGAGTCTAAAAATCAAAATTTATGTTTTAACCAAGAGTGAATGTATCGTGAGGATTATTGGTGTTAAAATCAAAAGATGACAATGGCAGGAAGATAGTAGTGGAGATGAGGTATTTATGTCAGTATCTGTGTGGAGGCAAAATAGAATATAAAGGAGCAAGTTGTATAAATTTTAACATATATGACACGAAAGAGAGCCTTATATAGTAAAGTAATTTAGAAATATCGTTAATTAGTATCAAACAATCAAGAAAGTACGGTACGCGATACATATATAAACTGAAAATCCGTATTAGTAAAAATCGGGAGGTGCAGAGATAAGTAGTTTAGAAGATTATTACCGTCTAAGATTATTGTGTTGCTTCTTGAACAAATATATGTAACAGCTTTTTGGAAAAACAAACACTGCCAAAAAAACTATGACAGACTCACCGAATTGGACAGGTAATTTCGGAAATGAAATAATTCATAGTATCCAAATACCATTTAAATGATAGTTCATAAAATAATGAATACAGTCCTTTAACATACACGGTTATATATATTTCTTGATATTAGGTAGAGGTTTGAATAGATCCTGTAGATACATAAAGTACGTGGGTTAAGGCATTCAAATACGATATAACCATATATTCCTTAAGCAACAGAATACAGATATAGATTGCAGATCTTCGTCGAATATGATTATATATGGTTTCAAAGTGACAGAGTATAGTTTGATCGTATCGTCAAAATGAATATATGTAATTATATAATTATAAATTATTGTATGAATATGATCATAAATACTGTCACTATAGGAAAAAATTCCTATTATTCAAAGAGCAATCACCTGACCAAAATAGAGGGGTGGGACATTTTGGTTTGTTCCAAATAAAGGCAAATAAATAGTAAGTAATAGCAATCTTTCCTGAAATCAAACATGTAACATGCTTTAAAATCAACCTCACGAAATATAGATCAGTTTCCCAACCATCAACCAAGGCGTAGCTGACCAATACGGCAAGCACCACAAAACAGCCATCAAACTACTTGACAGCATCAAGGAAACGGTAAGGATTCAGAATTAAAGCGTCATATAATAATAATTACGACCAGTCTCGAGAACGTGAATCAACTTACAAAATATTGACAGAATTAAAAGAAACATTACATACAAAAAAAATGTATAAAAACGTAGTGGTTTTTTCAATAGCTGGACGTGAGCATGCAAAAATGGGTCATAAGGTAGGCATCTGTCCTTTTCTACACTAAACAGAAGTACATTCATTCAAAACAGTCTCCACATAGCTGCTGCAATCATCCACTTCAAAAAGCTTTTTAAAGGGCGATTGACACAGACAAACTTAAAAGCTTACCCTCACCACGCTGGAGATAACTTTGTTACATGTCCACTTAGAAACCTTTCTAATGATTTTGAATATTATTCGATAAGACTCTTGGGCGTCTACTAATATGGAAGGAACATCATTGATCCATTCTATAACACCCTCCCTCTTTCAACTGCTATCTTTTTATTTCTGTTTGTTAATAGTGATGTTCTCAGACCACGTGACAAGTTATAATCCTCTTTCACCACCAAGGACTCCACCATCTAAACCCTTTCACTACCAGTCCTTAAGATCTGTCTACAAGCACACAAATTTTAGTTTCCGTCCAACTTCCGTCGTATCTCCTAGCCATGTTTCATTTATTGATGCACAACTTACCGCTTATCATATATCAGCCATATAGATCGCACATCAGATCGACCCATACACAGAATACAAGATCAGTACTCGTAAAACACCCGATTCTCCATGTCCCTGTAAATCACACTACTATAACACGAACTACTCCCCAATTTTATATCATACTTTGATCCAAGAAATATCAGAACATAAGCTAGATCAACAAGTAAATTTACTAAAACCAGTCTGAACGTTTTGGGGATAAAGTGATGTTAGATATTTGGGCCTTGGTTTTTTTCTCTAGTTATTTGGATGGCAATATCTACATTGTTTTGCATTCGGTACGAAGATTCGAAACCATATTCTCAAAAGTTGTTATTTAATTTATTGACACATCTATTACTTATTCATCTTATTTTTGGTTTTTCTATACATCACTTGACAGACATGTGTTGTTTTGTCCATGTTTCTGCAGTCTAGAGCTTATTATGTAAAATTTTCCATTTTGAATCCAAAATGATTCAAGATGATACCTGTTTTAATTGCTGTGAATTAGATAGACTTAATGCGAAATACATAATGTCCATCCTGAATTTACGACATGTTCAATTAATCTTGTTGCCGTCGAACATAGTTTGAACATGTCGAATTAACTGATCATTTAGCATAACGGCTAATATTTTGCTACGGTCGAGTTTTTAAAATTTTAAACTATCCAAAGCTGATAAGTCATTTCTTATCACCAGTTACATCATTGTACATGGTAAAAATTATCTTTAGCCACAATGAGATCGCGAAAACTTTTGAGATGCTGACGGGAAAATAAAAAACACAAATGTCTGTATCTAATCCTTTCCTAGTTCCTGTTAATTCTGTCAGAATAGTGACTTAGTTGAGTGAGCCAAATTTCTACAATTTCTGGAAGTCTAGATTACCTGGTCATAACTATGTCTATGACCAAATAGCAGCAGAAAGAACGACACTTAAAACAACATTTTAGTTCCATCCATAATATAAAAGACTCACTATTAGTAGAGCCTTCCATAACTACTTTTGTTTCTTAAAAAATGAAATATAGCTTTTCGGTTTTTAGATCACAAGGTTTACTAGATTACCCAAGAGAGCAGATGTATTTGGTTAACCTTCGTCAAACATACGGAAAGAAAGAAATTCAAACAAGCACAGTTTCGTTGAACAGCGTAGTCTTGGGGATGGTGTATAACGAGTGACTAGCTAATCCAGACACGTCCACTCTATCATATTTAAGGACTGTTGGGGAACTGAATAAGTCAAAAAATTACTGGATATTTATTTACTTTTACTGTTATTCAGAAAAAAGAATTTATGATAATACTACAGTAAACTGGACATTGCAAAATGAGTTGCTTTTTCAGTGACTACTAACTTTGCCATCAAGTCATTAAACAGCAAAACTCTGAGTTGCTGGTTTTCCTTAGATAAACGTAGGTCATTTTAGAAGCACTTATCACAAAAGTTAACATATGTCCTCTAAACATATGTTTTCTCTAAAAACGCAATTGTAAGCTCAAGAGCAGCATGGGAATAGAAAAAAGCTTCGCAACCAGTCCATGTAGGTAAACATCAATATGTTATTTTTAATATTGACTAGGCACATCTAAATTATCTAAAAACTCAAGTTCTGTTTTTATCACTTCTACACTGTTTGAGAAATTTCCAATTCACAGGCGAATAACGTAAAGATGACACAGATATTCAGGGTTCGACAACCTTTTGTCCGTAACCATAGGATAGGAGGATACCAAACCAACCAAATCTGAAGTCACTAATTAATGCTTCCTTATTTATATTTGGAAGACTGTCGATATGTCGAAGAGCGTTTTATTTAGTACGCGAATAATTGCAAGGGGTGCGTGATGTAGAGTGACCACTCGTGATCTTCAGATGCGTGACTGAGAGCATTCAACTACGGTGTGTAGTAAAATTGATGATGTTAACATAAATGTCGAAGACATACGGCACTATTTTACTATGTAGATTTGTTTGCCGCTACAAAATTCCAAAATCTTTTTTAATCAAATGTCTTCTTGTCTCATGCAAATATTATGAAATATCTTGGTGGTTTTCTTGATGTCTATGTTTTGCAGATATCTCAACATAACCAAAATATTCAAACTGACATCACTAACATATATATGAGCAGACGCTGATTTTCGTTTTTTGAAACCATACATGATGCCACTCTACTGAGAAGCTACCAAGTGACTCGTGGTCAACCGGATAACAAAACTTACAACAACTAGAGTGATTCACAAGAATCAAGTTTACGGAGAAAGCATTATATGAATAGCATCATTATTATGAGCGAGGGCATCAAAAACTATTGAGCGATCAAAAAAATACATAGGATCCATAATGTTTTATGAAGATGGCAAAACTGAAAATACAAACAACCATAAACTGAGATTGGACATTCAATAACAGTGTAACCACTTCATCATGTTAACGATTACGTATTAAAACTGAGAACAAGTGGTTTTTCAGACACAAAATATTTTATAAAATAGTTTATCGTTTTCATACTTTAGTTTAGTTTTACTGCACCGTCACCAATGAAAACAGGTTTCACGTTGTGCTTATAATTCAAAGTGGTTTCCGTTTGTTGTCTATTGCCTTAGCTCAATAACTCTAGTCGATAAATGGACAGAATAAAATGAATCGTTACACACTTATAAAGCAATTAGGAGACGGGACTTACGGTTCGGTACTCCTTGCTACTGTCCAAGAAACAAAAGAAAAAGTTGCTATTAAAAGGTAACAATATCAACGTTAAATTGAAAATCGTTTAGGATGAAAAGAAAGTTTTATTCTTGGAATGAATGTCTGAATTTACGTGAGGTCAAAGTAAGACTTGTTTCGAATTTTTTTAACTCTCTGCAGTCGTTGAGTAAACTTTCTCACCCAAATATTGTGAAGCTTAGGGAAATAGTGCGGGAAAATAATCATCTTTATTTAATATTCGAGGCACTCGAAAATAATTTATATGAACTAATAAAAGCAAGGTAAGTATCGGCGTTCAGGTTTCTATATATATATCCCTTCGCATGTTTACGTAGATTTTGCTTTTGTCTCCATTATCATATCTTTTGTTGCCTGATATAGTTCTGATTTATTCTTTAAAACATTTGAATAATTTCTCTTGTGAAACTACGTGGGGGTGATGTGCAAATATGATGCACTTTGTTTTTTCGAGTACATAAGTAAAAATATTGATGACATGATTAAGAGAAGGTTCTGGTGTTTTTGTTTCGTTTTGAACTCACGTCACCGTTTGATCAGTTTACTCATAATTCGACCTATGTTGCTTTTCCAGGACTAAACTTTTTCAAGAAGAAACTATCCGGAATATAATTTGGCAAGTTCTAGACGGCCTGGATTTTATGCATAAGCAGGGTAACTAAATATTTTTCTTTCCAGTGATTATTCATGAAGTAACTTTTCATCGTAATCATTCAGTTCAAGCCACAAAACAAAAGTTTAGGATTCTTTTGTCTTCAGAGTCATTTTTTATGTTCATATTAGGAAATCTGATTATCTGACTCCAGTTCAATATAGTTTGACATTGGTTAGTAGGTACAACGCTAGACGTGTAGATCACTTCATTGTCAGTTTCGGCAAGTCACTAGTCGTCATCAGGCTTGACACAGCAGTGAAAAATCTTTAGGATTACAGGTCTGTTTTTGGCTCTCTCTGTTTCCTCAAATGTCGGGAGACCAGTTTTCTCTTCAAAAATATCAAATCGGTTATTTATAACCTGATCAAAACAGAACTTCAGGCGATGGTTCTGGAAATGTTTTTAAAAGTTAAGAATGGGGATGTTTGTCATATAGCTTTGTAACTTTTGTTTATTGCCAAATCTTGATTCTTATTTATTTGTTTGGTACTTAGGAAATAATTAAATACTAATTGAGTCCCTCATATTGTACATCTAAATAATATTGGATATCCTTGACTATAGTGATATCGAATTTTTCTCTTGATTTTATTGAGTTCAAAATCTAGGGATTTAAGTCAGTGTAACCGCTACAATTTAAAAATATATACTAATGGTCAGATAAATTGTTCGTTACATGAATACATCATAAATGGGAAGAAATAATGACACATTTAAACTTTGCTGCAGCTAAAGTATTTAATCACCATCATTTGATTGCCATATTTGCACTGCTTATATGAACATGGAATCAGGTTTATAGTATAAGTGACCTTTATTTGTCACTGGTTTCTTAGACGTTGGAAATTTCAGTGAAAACAAGACAACTTATGTTCATAACCAGGCGTATCTTAGTTAAAAAAACAATAACAGTCGAATTCTGTCTTCTTATGTAGTCTCGGAAGTATCAAACGCGATCCGCAGTGAAAAGTTATGCTACTGTGTCATTTTACTTAAAAACTAATCTATGAAAAGTATGTTGTATAACAAGCAGGTACAAAAATATGGCAATCAACAGAATATCATATTAGGTCTTTGGGATCTATTTCACATACTAGTTTAGTGACTAACCTGTATTTATATGGGTCTCAGTTGTATTTATGCATTAAAACTACAACAAGAAGTAGGGAAGGCACCAAATAAAATGTCCGATTTACAAACATTTCCTAGTACCATGTACATTGTAATTTTGGCATATATGTAGAAACACATACTAGTTAACTAAATCCAGTGTTATATGGGATACGTTTTGGATGAACACAAGTTTTAGTGTATTATTTTTAAAGCTGTTAAATAGTTTACCTGCTGCTTTAAAGAACGTAACGACTTTCAGATAATATTATCCGTTAGTATGTTAATTCTTCATTGCTAGGGTTTTTCCATCGGGACATGAAACCTGAAAATTTGTTGTGCAATGGCCCAGAGACAGTGAAACTAGCAGATTTCGGACTTGCACGTGAGATCCGTTCGCAACCTCCTTACACCGATTATGTGTCTACCAGGTGGTATGTTGTCTATAAATAGTGTTTATACATTATCATGCATTCATCTGAATCATGTTTTAGTTGGTCTATGCTGTCATTAGGTCGTCAAAATTTTATATATTTATCAAGAAGTTTTTCAAATGAGGAAAAACTCGTTGTATATATATATATATATATATATATATATATATATATATATATATATATATATATATATAATTACTATTCAGAACCAGGAAGCCAAAGCTTATTTTATTTAAGTTTCATGGTGATCGATATTATTCCGTTCTAAGCTGGTGATCTTTATGGGTTTCATCTAAGTGAAGCTTTAAAAAATAACTTTTCAATAAGTTCTATAACTACTTAGTTTTGTTGGGTATAAGCTGACTCATTTGGTAAACACCAAAACCTGGGATAGTGTTCTAAAGGTGTGTGTTTCTGATTATGCGGCTTCAGCAGTTCATGATGTATATAAATCTATGTGCTTAAATTAAGTCTCCTAAAATCAATCAAATGTTGTTCTACCCATTAGTTAATGTAATCAGTTGCTAGTGTTTTTGAATTTGTTCTGTGTGATTAGTTACCTACATTTGCAAAATGTCTAACATTGTCGTCACATTAGCAGCTCAAGAGTCATTTCTTCGCCACCGAACGATGCACGTCAAATCCCATTATATTCCGAAGATATCCATTACCAACTATGAAATAGTTGACTTGTTTCTTGTTTTTCAGCTGATATCAGTTCACAACAAACACTCTTATAACTGACTTAGCCATCATGTCAATGAACCTTCATCCTTATTTTGTGACTGCATAGTTGACTAAGTTACTGATGTGACCATTCTCAATAGATTGCGTTTCTCATTTTCAGGTATCGGGCCCCTGAAGTGCTCCTTAGATCAACTAGCTATAATTCGCCTGTCGATCTATTTGCTGTTGGTTGCATAATGGCGGAACTCTACACATTTCGTCCTTTGTTTCCAGGAAGCTCAGAAATTGACATGGTTTTCAAGATTTGTTCTGTTTTGGGTACACCTTCTAAGGTAAGCTTGTTGCTCAAATAGTCAAAGTTGATGGTTATACGAAACTTGATTGTTCGACTACAGTTTTCATATTTGATGTTTCGCATGGTTCTGAAAAGTGCAATCAAAAAGTAGTTATGCTACTGGTTTTCCTACTTTCACCCTATTTTTGTTAAAATCAGTTATTAAATTTCATCATTCCATGAATTCTCGTACAATTTTCTATTCATATTCCAGTATAGAGTTAGCACAGTACTTTGTGCTCACTTTCTGCCATGATGAATTTGTTATTTGCAAGGTTTCCTACTCAGTCAGTCAGTAACGACGTAGAACTTTGTACGTACGTACATCAGTTCGAGTTGCCACACCACATTAGCACAGAGATGCACTTGTCGATTCAAATCCCGTAGTGGTAGAGGTAATAAGAGTATAAGCAGTAATCGGGAAGATTAGGGTTTGGAGATGTTATTTAAAGAGTATAATACAGTGAAATAAATTTGGAAAGAGAAAAAAAGAAAGGGACATGAAGAATTCAGAAGATTATAATTTTAGGGGAGCACAAAGAGTGGATGCACCTGCACCATTGCAAACCATTTTGAGCCATGTCATTCAGGGTCTCTAACCATCGGTTGCAATCATCTTGCGGTCCCCAACTGAGCAGTCGACACCTACCAACATGGCTCAGTCCACTTATCAGTGACTTCACGGATTTATGCCATGTTTGGGTCTGGCCACCCCTAGCTTTCTTACAACCTACTCCTACACCAGAAAACATCGCACGTCGAGGCAGTCGGTGGTTGGGCATACGTAACACGTGTCCCAGCCATCTCAACTGATGAAGTTTCAATACTTCATCAATTGATTTGCCATCCTTACCTATTACCCGTTTCCTAACAACTGTGTTACTTACTCGATGGTCCCAGGATATACGAGCAATGTTTCGAAGACACCTATGATCAAATACTAGTAACCTACGAATATCCTCTACTCTAACCGGCCATGTTTCACTGCCATAAAGTAGGAAGGAACGAACTGCTGCGCAGCAAACACGTCCTTTGGTTGATAGACGGATATCTCGCCTACGCCATAAATGACGCAAGTTGGCAAACGTTAGTCGAGCCTTCTGTATCCGTGCTGAGATTTCGTCACACACTAAACCACAAGGGCTAATGAGACTTCCAACATAAGTGAAGCGATCGACACGCTCAACTACTTCACTCACTATCAGTAGTTCAGGTGTCGATGCAACCCAATCATAAAGTAACATTTTGCATTTTGAGGGGGAGAATCGCATCCCGAACATGTCTGCATTGTTGCTTAGAATGGTCAGAAGATTGCATTTTGTCAGCGTCTTCACCAAATAGAACTATGTCATCGGCATATTCTAGGTCAAAAAGTGAATTTCCCAGTAGAAGTTCAACCTCTGGGGATTTAGATGAGGAAAGTCTTATCTTTAAATGCACGAAAAGTTAAACAAGAATGGAGAGAGTGGACAGCCCTGACGAACACCACTTGAGGTGATCATTTCTGATGACAGTTCGCCATAAGCTCTCACTCTACCAGTTGTGTTCGAGTAGAGAGCCTTTATAAGGTTAATGTACTTCTTTGGTACTCCTTTCAGTGACAAACACTGCCATAGAACCTCACGATCAACAGACTCGAATGCCGCCTTAAGATCGAGAAATACTACCATTGTGGGGCGTCTGAATGTGTGTCTGTGTCCTAGAACCTGTCGCAGTGTGAATATCTGATCTGTACAACCACTTCCAGGTCGAAAACCAGCCTGATTTTCTCTAGTCTATTCTTTACGAGCTTTGGTTAGGCGTCGAAGAATTATTGAATCTAATATTTTAGACACTATATTAGTCAAACTGATTCCTCTGTGATTGTCACAAGAGGACTTTTGTCCTTTCTTATAGACTGGCACAATCAGTGATTGAGACCATTCAGATGGGATTACGTCCAGTTCCCAAATTCTACCTAAAACCTCGGTTAATCTCATTGCTAACACTGGACCACCATCCTTAAAAATCTCAGGAGTAAACCTGTCAGGGCCTGCTGCTCTCCCTCGCTTCAGATTTCTTATGGCTTTTTCAACTTCGTAAAGGGGCGGAGGACCTACATTAATTTGCCATTCAGGTTGACTAGAGATCGTGGGAAACCGAAGTGTGGCTGAAGGCCAGTTGAACTGACCCCTAAAGTGTTCTGCCCATCGATCCAATCTCCTGGATTGAGAATGAATAATATGTCCATCTTTCTCTGAGATTGTTTCGCTAACAGTCGGTTTCCTAATTCCGGTTTCCTTAACAAGTCTGAACAATTGTGTGCTATTACCTATTGCCGCTGCCTTTTCCATCTCTCTTGCTTTCGCTACCCACCACTGTTCGCGATCATTGCGTAGACTTCTTGTCAGCTTGCGCTTAAGCTGACTCCGCTCTTCATTATGTTCAGAGCCAGGTGGAATGAGTTTCCGAGCATCTATCAGTGCAGTAGATGCTGCTGAGATCCAGTGTTGCTCCCTAACCTTGTGGTTTACCTTACTAGCAGATATCACTGCTTTTTCCACAGCTTTTCGGATATCATTCCATGCTGCCTCAGGGTGGGCATCACATACATGGCTGCCTAACTGTTTTTCTAGTTGTTCCTGAAATATAATCTTAGCTTGACTATCATTAAGTAGGGCCCTAAGAGGTTTCCTTGCAGCGTCTTTCCTACGTCCAGTAAGACGCAAGCAAATACGCGCTCGCACTAGAGCATGATCTGAATCTTGGCATGTGCTCCAGTCTTCTATCGAGCCCCTCCATCGGTGGCTGATAGCGATGTGATCTATTTGGGTCCAACGTTGGGACGAATTAGGAGGTCGCCATGTTAAAAGATGTTTTTCCTTATGCTTAAAGTTAGTATTTGCAAGGAACAGGCGGTTATCTGAGCATAGCTGCAACAGACGGTCGCCATTATCTGTTCTTTGAGCCACGACACCATAAGATCCACCCATGTGTCTTTCCCTATCGCTTAGTTTACCTACTTGAGCATTAAAGTCACCGACCACTATTACTACATCCGAGCGCTTAGCTTTTCGGAGAAGATCCGAAAGCTTTCTGTAAAACTCATCTTTTACATCATCTGAGCTGCAGTCAGTGGGAGAGTAGGCAGAGACGACGAAGAGGCAACGACGAGTGTCCCTATCTTTCCGAGTCCTTATTGTTCCGTTTAGTCGGACAGCTCACAAACGAATATCTACTGGGATCCACTCTGAGAGAACTAGTTCTGCCCAAAAGCTCAATGCTATACCTACGCCGGCGAGGCCACGGGAAGCACAACCAGAGCTTCCAGATACACGAAGCGTAAATCGAGTCGGTTCTTTATTTTGGCATGGTGAGGTCAAATGAATGACGCTACTTGGATCCTGTATGCACGTTTCGGAGACGCAGCACACATCAATGGCGCGAGATTCTAAAGTTTTAGCTAAGGAAGCCCACTGTCCTATTTGGCAAAGTGTTCGTACGTTAAAAGCTCCTACGTGTAGTTTAGAGCGTGGTTTCAGGAGACCAGGAATGGCGTTCCACGTACTCGAATCGTTTGCCCTAGCGGTGCGAGGTGATAAAGAGACGTGAGGAGGGTTAGTCGGGAAGATAAGAGAGGTATTAGGAGGTGTAGGAAGGATTTGAATGTGACCACCTTGGTCTCTTGTGCTGTTACGGGTATGAGGGCTGATGTCATTTCCCGGCTGCCCACACCGTGGAAGGGTATTTCTTGAGGAACCTGAAAAGGAAATTGGATTAGTGTTGGTCTTGACGACCTGGGAGCGTGACCGCAGAGCCCAAGGGGCAACTGCTTGAGGCCGGTCGCGCACGGCCTTTTTGTGTAAGGTTTTTGAAGTGTTAGCTCCGTTCTTCAAGGGGCCTTACCGCCGGAGACGGAAATCCGTGAGGTAAGGTGAGGTGTGCATTTTTAGGGTCGACCTTTTCTAACCCCACTCCTCCTTGTGGGAAGGCAGCATCGCTGTCATGCTGGTTGTCCGAGGGAAGCACCTTACTGCTGTCACACCTCTCTACAGTCAGCAGTACGACTTCGCCCTCAGACCTTGAGTTGCTGCTTTTAGTCTTACCGTTTACCAATCGACCTGCCTGGCATGGTAGAACCTGCAGGAACATATGTTCCAGCCAATATAGCTCGGTTGGGTCATCACGATAGGCAAGCCCGACCACCGCGTCAAGGTAGCAGCTTCGATCGGGAGGTTTCCTACTGCATATTGGAACATGATCCATGTTACAGCTGAGAATGGTTTTATCATAATTCTAAGCAAATTTTATTGTTTGTACGTTGCTCAAGTTTTTATTATAGTTAAGTGTTTAACAGCTAAAAGGTTATGTCTTACAGATGTGTTTTCCAAACTGGGTGGTTTAGTTATAAGGCTTTTATTAACTTTCTAGACATTAATAACGAATACTTAAAAAAAGTTAGGAGAATCAATAATTTCAAGATCAAATACCAAGCCAGGGAATAATATAACCAAAATAATTGCCCAAATAACAGTAACACAATTGTGGATAACGACTGATCAAATTCTAGGTCAATAGAACAAGCTGTTAGTCAGTTCTGGGGAACTTTTAATATGTCATATCTTTGTAAAGTATATCATAATGTTGTCTAGACAGAAAGTTCCACTACTAAAGCATTTAAGTCAGAGAACACAGTGTCACTAATATCTTTCTCATGAGCTATAAATATTCTCCATCTCATAAAGGTTATCTGCAGAGATTTGTGTGAAGTGTTTTGTAGTTATCCAAACTGATTATTGTTGGTCCAATATTTTTCTGATTTAGATCACTGTGATGTTTATTACTTTAGTCAAACTGCTGAATTAACACTTATTGAGTAAACCATATTTGCGTTATTTTAACTCTCTGTACTAGTTGGATTGTAATTGTTTCACATAATCTGGACCATTTGTTCTATATTTTCCTCATTATTCAGTCGGTCATTTATTTAGCATAGGGCTGGCTACGTATTCTCAATTAAAAAAGGTTACCAACATCACTTCAGCCTTATGACATAATGTCCTGGTATAATAATGCACTAAGAAATTCCCCGGACAAAATAGAAGGACAACATTAAAGATAGATGAAAGAGATTTGTTTTATACAAGCAAAAATGAAATGTGGTAAAAGCTATGGTACAATCAAGAACAAAATCAAGATAGATCTCTTTTAAGGGGTTTTACTAATTGTAAATGATATAACAGAAAGATACAGCTAAATTGCCACTGACTACTGTTGTGAAGTATGTCTGATATTATCTTAAACCACTTTTTCACTTCATTTCAGCTTTAAACTTGCTCAAGCTACCCAAACCGTTGTTTTAAGATGCTAACATTAAATCACTGATCATTATGATCGGACCGCAGCGCTGCTTACTGAATTTAAGCAATCTTCCGAAGATAACGATCAAACGTAGATTCATCAATCAGGCATAGTGAGGTTATACAGCCAGAAAAGCATCAGTGATATCGTCAAAAAATTTTACACCTAACATTTCATAATCATTCACATTGGGCTACATTGATGTGGTCGTCAATATATGGATCGTGATCTCATTGGCTACTTCACTAGTATTCACAAACCTAGCCGTGTACACGGACAATATCTACTCTCTTCGCCAACTCACAGTTCTCTCCCATTTTTATAGTATTGTACATGTCGGTGACGCAAACTATAAATCATACTTACAAACACTGCTCATCATCCACTTAAGTGTTCATTAGAAAACTTTTATATTATCATATAGAAGAACTAAATCATGAACACATCCAAAGTTTCAAGTCTTCTAAATGTTTAGTTTGCACCACTGTCACAGATTTTCCTTTGGACTGTTTTCAATTTTCACAAATAGTAAGCTCGGAAGATTAGAGATATCGGGCAATCGCGTCTGATAGTCACGGTGATTTCGAATCCATTTAGTTTTACACCATCATTTTAGTCAGCCTCATTTCAGTGTTTGAACAAGCTTCTAGGTCACCTATATATCACAGAGAATCCCATGTCAATTTGACTAATATAGTGTCTAAAATATTAGATTCAATAATTCTTCGACGCCTAACCAAAGCTCGTAAAGAATAGACTAGAGAAAATCAGGCTGGTTTTCGACCTGGAAGTGGTTGTACAGATCAGATATTCACACTGCGACAGGTTCTAGGACACAGACACACATTCAGACGCCCCACAATGGTAGTATTTCTCGATCTTAAGGCGGCATTCGAGTCTGTTGATCGTGAGGTTCTATGGCAGTGTTTGTCACTGAAAGGAGTACCAAAGAAGTACATTAACCTTATAAAGGCTCTCTACTCGAACACAACTGGTAGAGTGAGAGCTTATGGCGAACTGTCATCAGAAATGATCACCTCAAGTGGTGTTCGTCAGGGCTGTCCACTCTCTCCATTCTTGTTTAACTTTTCGTGCATTTAAAGATAAGACTTTCCTCATCTAAATCCCCAGAGGTTGAACTTCTACTGGGAAATTCACTTTTTGACCTAGAATATGCCGATGACATAGTTCTATTTGGTGAAGACGCTGACAAAATGCAATCTTCTGACCATTCTAAGCAACAATGCAGACATGTTCGGGATGCGATTCTCCCCCTCAAAATGCAAAATGTTACTTTATGATTGGGTTGCATCGACACCTGAACTACTGATAGTGAGTGAAGTAGTTGAGCGTGTCGATCGCTTCACTTATGTTGGAAGTCTCATTAGCCCTTGTGGTTTAGTGTGTGACGAAATCTCAGCACGGATACAGAAGGCTCGACTAACGTTTGCCAACTTGCGTCATTTATGGCGTAGGCGAGATATCCGTCTATCAACCAAAGGACGTGTTTGCTGCGCAGCAGTTCGTTCCTTCCTACTTTATGGCAGTGAAACATGGCCGGTTAGAGTAGAGGATATTCGTAGGTTACTAGTATTTGATCATAGGTGTCTTCGAAACATTGCTCGTATATCCTGGGACCATCGAGTAAGTAACACAGTTGTTAGGAAACGGGTAATAGGTAAGGATGGCAAATCAATTGATGAAGTATTGAAACTTCATCAGTTGAGATGGCTGGGACACGTGTTACGTATGCCCAACCACCGACTGCCTCGACGTGCGATGTTTTCTGGTGTAGGAGTAGGTTGTAAGAAAGCTAGGGGTGGCCAGACCCAAACATGGCATAAATCCGTGAAGTCACTGATAAGTGGACTGAGCCATGTTGGTAGGTGTCGACTGCTCAGTTGGGGACCGCAAGATGATTGCAACCGATGGTTAGAGACCCTGAATGACATGGCTCAAAATGGTTTGCAATGGTGCAGGTGCATCCACTCTTTGTGCTCCCCTAAAATTATAATCTTCTGAATTCTTCATGTCCCTTTCTTTTTTTTCTCTTTCCAAATTTATTTCACTGTATTATACTCTTTGAATAACATCTTCAAGCCCTAATGTTTCCGATTACTGTTTTACTCTTATTACCTCTACCACTACGGGATTCGAATCGACAAGTGCATCTCTGTGCTAATGTGGTGTGGCAACTCGAACTGATGTACGTACGTACGAAGTTCTACATTGTTACTGACTGACTGACCCATGTCATTATTACTGATTTCAAAAATACAGCAAGTAAACATATGACAGTTTTGAAGCATCTGAGAGTATGTACATAATAATTACTACTTCATTCAATAGACCCACAACCTTCAAAAAATTAGCATCTACCCCAATGATTATCACATAAATTACATGAGCACTTTTTGAAGGTATATATGCATCTCAGTTCACTATACCACTTGATGCGTTCTCACCGTTTCTCTGACCAGCATATTGTTTTCATCTTTAAAAGGCAACGGTTTGGTGACCTAGTTGGATAGGTTGGTGTTGAGGCAGTAGCTTAGTTTTTGTAGGTTTTACTTCTCTTCGTACATCGGTATTACCAGCCCTCAGATAAACAGTAACGACCGTGAGGTTTTGTGGTCAGTATTTTTAGAGCAGTGTACCAGATAAACCCTTCCAAAGTGTTTATCAGAATTTAGGGAAATATGATATTTGCCTGTTTAATCTAAGCGGCCAAATCTTGGATGAAGTATTAACATTTACAGAAATTTGGATGTATCTTGACATCTTGTATACTCCACCACAGATCTCTTGTTATATTCAATATAAATATTCAACATAGACAAACTTTATCTGCCATGTGGTTCACCTCGGTTTTCAAAACGATGTTGATTATTTTAACTGTTCGTTTTTTCAAGTGAACATTGGAGTATCTTAAGAAATTTTCACTCCATCATTATAACTATGTAAATGCTACTCTTTTTCTACTTACAGACTATGATTGCGAATTTTTTTTATTATTTAAGTATTTATGTAAAAATCTTATTTATTTATTTGAAACAAGGTAGTCAGTCGATCTGTGTGATCAACATACTTTTCACCAGTAGATATCTATTTCCCTCACAAATCTCAGACTTTATTGTTTGCTACTTATGCATTAAATATATAGGGTGGCTGGCCTGAAGGATATCAACTAGCGGCCGCTATGAATTTTAAATTTCCACAATGTTCTCCAGTCCCTTTGCATACTTTGATTCCGAATGCTAATCATGAAGGTATTCAGCTCATTCTGGATTTGATTTCTTGGAATCCCAAGTATCGACCAACGGCACGTGAAGTAAGAGAATTCTAACGCTTTATAATTCATAAATTTTTCGGAGTTTTGGATCTAAATATTTCCACTTATACTATGATAAATATATCATTTTACTTGTTGAATTTAAATCAACCAGTTACATGGAATAAAAAATTCTGGAACAGTTTTCCTCTTAGTTTATAAAAATAGTGGGATAAAACCTGGTAGCTTTTCGTTTCTAGTACACTACGTCGTCCTTTATTTTCTCAGTCTAGATGATTAATGACTTTTCACCAAAGTTATTCTCCCAATATTTCTGACCTCACATATCATAGGCTTCTATTATAAACAAAACTTGATTTTGCAGTTCATCATAGTTCTTGGATTTAATTATTTATCCTGATCATCCAAATCCTTTCGGTAGATTATGATACTTGTCAAATGCAGTTTTCTGAGTTGTAAGCACATATCCTCAGTTCATTTAGATGCATAAACTCAATCCCTAACATTGCATATTCACTTTTACATAATAATATTCGTCAGTTAAAAACTCTTCAGCACAATATTATCTCACACTTGAAATATGTTGTTTATTACTTTTGCATATCTGCTACATTTCATCTTTTGGATTACTCATTTTTCTCTATATTTACTGACGACCATTGTTGGTTTATATACAGGTATGTAATGTATGTCATACTTAGTGTTTGTAGTTCGAAACGACTGAAATGTTTACAGTCGGTTGATGTGTCTGTATAATTTTAAAACAGAATATTCAAATACCTCTTTATATACCTTTATACTGGAATTTTATTTATATTTTGTCTCAGTTTAAAGTGTTTTCCCATTAGTGTTACTTTTTATGAATATTAGTGTGGAAACTAAAGGTTGATTTATGTGTACAGTTTACACCATTTTTCAGTTATAAATGAGATGATGTTAGTCGTTCAGTGTTGGACTTTGCCTGAGTATGTGTTTAAACCTGAATGATACATAGTTAGAATTTTAATATTACTCCATATACCAATGTTAATAAATAAGCATTTTCCAATTCTGTTTCCTGTTATTGGTTGACTTCTTTTATCTCTAGGCATTAAAGCGACCTTATTTCAAAACTATCCAAGCTTTCAAAGGAATCATATCTTCTGCGAATAATGGCGACAAAGTACAGAATGTATCTCAAGATTTAGAGAAAAAATCTACAGATTTAAACAGAAAACAAAAATCATTGTCAAAAAATTCGAATTTAGGAATTACCACTTCACAAAAATTAAAAGAGTCTCAATCTACTCATCAAATGGTTATTATAAACTCATCAAATGATAATCAAATGGAAACTGGCTCACTCAATCATGATGATTGCAATTTACAAAGAGAAGTTGAAAATAACTCATCTAAAAACAATAAAGATCTCTCAGAACATCCGTTTACAGACTTACAAGGTAATTTTTCACTTTTTCATACTGATAATTTACAGCCAGTTTTATGCTACGTTTCTTTTCGTTATCGTCTGAAAGGATTTTCAGACAAACCTACTTAGTACAACTAGTTTGACTGAATAATACTCTCTATCACTCAAAGAAGTTTGAGTTTCGTTGACAAAAAGATCTATGAGCAAATCCTGAATCTTCTACAAATTACATTTAAATATCTGACATCAAATATGCTTCATTTTGATATCCGATCATATAGCTCTGATTAGAGCAGTTTTTAATAATCGTTAATAAATTCGTTCAAGTTGTTCAGTAAAAAACTGTAGTCTCTCACATACCTCTTATAAAATCCCTAACGAAAACCATGTGTATCTTTTATTATATATCACTCCAAAATGCACAACATGGTTGACAGTACTATTTTTGATCTTTTTAGTTTGCGTAGCTTTGGAATGATTTATTTGAAGTCATCTGAAAATTCGGTACACTTTAATAGTAGTCACTATTTATTTACGACGATGATGTAGTTTGAGATTACATGCAATATAGAATTTTTATTGCATTTGTTTTTATAATTGGTCAGGCTTTTTCCTATCCATCTATTTCTTCGAAAAGACAGTGTTTGTACACAAGATATTCTAGAACTCGGTATGTTTGGGCTTACAGAAGTAGTCTTCTGAGAAAACCAATCTTATCTTGTCGAAATATGTCAATAGGTAGGTATCCAAAGCACATTTTATTATTAATGGAAAAACAGTTAAAGTAGTATCTTCGAGAGATTTCATCGTAAAAGGTCATGAATAAATTGATTATTTTGTTGATTCTAAAAGACTTTAAAAATGTAGGCTAAATATTATCTAAATTCAACTAACACGATACGAAATCTAGTTTGGGAAATAAATCCATATCGAACTATTCAATTGACGATGGGATAATAAAATATGTTTTGCATTTAAGTATTTTTCTCTTGATACTGATATTTACTCTATATCAGTAGACAGTATTTGCATTCATCATGCACTACATTCGTTCTTTCATTTATTCAATACACGTCAGTGTTTTGTGACGCGTGCATGATATTAGTAAGTTCTCGGTCACTAGAAACTCTCTCTAACCTTTGAGATCGTGTCCATTTTAGTATTGTTATCAATATAACCCTAGACGGACAGCAGCAGGACCTGATAGGTTTATTCTATAGATCTTTAAGAATGGTTATTTAGTTTTAACAACCCAGTTGACAGGCATACGTGTTAGAATTTCGATGTAATCCCGTTTGACCAGTCCCGAACCAATCGTCCCAGTATATGAGAGGTAAAATCCTCTTATGATAAATACAGGAATCACTTTGACTAATGTCTTGTCTAAAATATGGGCCTCCATAATCATCTGACAGTTATTAGACTTTCATGAACATCAACCTACGGTAATCCGGGCTAATTTCACATCTGGATGTTAAGTATAGGTTTTCAAGTACTCACACTTCATCAGGTTTTAGGAAATACTTATAGTTACGGATGTCTTATAATAATGATATATCTTAACCTAAAGATAATATATGACTCCGTTGGCTGAGGTCTATGGCAGTGTTTATTTTTAAAAAGCGAACCAAAGAAGTAAATAGACCTTGTGACGGTTCTCGACTTATAGTGAACCGTCATCAGAACTGTTAACCTTAAGTCGAGTTCATCAGTGTTTTATACTATAATCTTTCTTTAATTTCGTCATTTATATTCTCCTGGAAATTACACTTCGCCTAACTTGTTCTCCTATCACGAGGTTAATTTATCGAGTGAGAATACACAGATGATACAGTCATATCTGATGAAAACACTGACATGATTTATAGTCCTCTGATTGCTTTGAACTACAATACAGGTATATTTAGGGTGCGTCTCTCTACTTCTAAATGCAAAATGTTGCTTCAGAACTGGCTCTGATGAGTTAATGTATGATGAAATCTCCGTACATACTCGAAAATCTTAGTTAGCTCTTGTCGAATTCCACCAGTTATGGCGTAAGCAAGATGTTTGTTTCTCAACCAGAGGGCGAGTATACTGCGCGGCGGTCCGCTCTGTACTACTCTATGACTGAAACATGGGTTTCGAAAGTAAAAGACATGTGTAAATTGATGAAGTTTGATCATGGATCTCTACGAAGCGCCCTCAAATGCCCTGGTACGGCCGAGAGTGGGAACAGTCCGCTCTCCCTCTCGAAATGCTCTCACATGGCCACGCGTATACAGCCTCTGCCAGGGAAGTCCTACTCACTGCCTTCTCGTGGCGTGGGTGTTGTTTACGAAATTCAGAGGACGAAAAGCGAATGTCCGGCGCTTTAACCGGATCACAAACTGATGGGGTACATGGGCTCCAGTATCCTGCGGTAACAAATGGCGTATGAACCGATTTTCGGTCACCGGCTACCATGGGACTGCATCTCCTTACGATGCTCCACTGCCTTGTGGGTTAAACCTTTAGGTCAAAGGCTCGGGGTGTTGCCCCCTAAGATAACCATCTGCTTCTATCTGGGCACTCGGGCAGTATCGCAGCCCATACGCAATTAATGAACTGAACTGTCTGTGATCATGGAAACTAATTCTCTTGCTTCGACGAACATTCAAATGATTCAATTATTATTGCTGTTATTATTATTATTATTATTATTATTTACTACGTCACTATTCACCCTCTTTTATTCCTACTCTGTCTATACTTTTTTTGTTTCGACTTATACAGCAGCTCGTCTGTGGTGGAAATTCGACTGTGTCTAAACGTTCTCGAGTCACTGTCCGGTTGAAAATTGTATGTTACCACCGAATATGAGTACTGAAGCAGTTTTTCTGAAACCACGTGCACTATTCAAACTGGCTGTCTTCAACGTTCGCACATTTGTGCAGATCGGACAACAGATAGGGCTGGCTATGTCTTTAGAAAGTCTTAATATTGATGCTTGTTGTCTATCCGAGACCCGTATTCAAGACTCTAGCGAAGTACTACAAATTCGATCTCCATCTATCGCTTCAAAAAACTTGTTTTACGTGCGCTTATCCGGGGACCCTGTGGCATCTTTGTCTGGTCTTGCTGGCGTCGGTGTCGCACTAAGCGCTAGAGCTGAGGCAGCACTAGTCGATTGGACCCCATTAACAGTCGGTTATGTGCTGTTAGATTAGAGAGTTCCATCAAAGTGAGAAGAAATCGGCGTGAGAAACAATGTCTTTTTGTCATCTCCGCCTATGCCCCGACAGATTGCAGCCCGGATGCAATCAAGGATGAGTTTTACCCCCAGTTATCTGTTCTTCTCCAGAAAGTGCGTTCGACAGATATTGTAGTACTAGCCGGAGACTTGAATGCTCAGGTCGGGAGTCTAGGCACACAAGAGAGTCGTTTGGGTGGCCGATGGGGACTTGTTAGTCGCAGGACAGATAACGGGAACCGTCTACTGCAACTGTGCACAGACCACAACCTGTTTCTGGCTAGCACTAACTTTCGGCACAGTCATCACCGATGTGCCACCTGGCGTCCTCACTCTGCATCTCAAGCCTGGACTCAGATTGATCACATCGCGATCAGCTACCGCTGGCGTGGTTGTGTACAAGACTGCCGCTCCTTTTGGAGTACCTATCTGGACTCTGATCATGCCTTGGTCTGCGCCAATCTTACCTTACTTTTCAGTGGACAACGAAGTAATCGCCACCAAAGAATTGATGTCAGCAAGTTGGTTGCAACTCCTGTTGCAAGTAAGTATCGAACCGAGCTAGCCTCTAGGCTAGCTACCACTCCACCGAAAAGTATAGATGAGCATTGGTTGCAATTGCATGACGCCATGAAAATGGCGGGTACAGTCAGTTGTGGGTTCGCGAAACATCCCGCTTATAAGCACTGGGTTTCTGCAGGTTCCTTATAACTCATTGAAGCCCGTCGGTCTACTCCGGGTGACCGTGAGTTTGACCATAAACGAAGGATGTTAGGTAAGGAAATTGGGCAAAGCTTGCGTAAGGACCAAGAAGCCTGTTGATCGGAGCGTGCTAATTAGTTGGAAGCAACAGCTGCATCTGGTAACTGCCGGAAGCTCGTTCAACTCATCCGAGTCACCAGAAGCAAGAAGTCTAGCGTGGGCGAAACAATGTGTGAGGATGACAGGATGCCAATCACTAACATTCATCGGCGGTTTAGACGACGGGCAGAGTTCTTCGAAGGGCAGTTCAACTGTTCCGCTGCTCCGACAACATTGATCAGACTATCCTGCCCTCCATGGCCGATGACGACTGATCTACCAAATGAGGCGGAAGTCCGTAAGGAACTCCAACTCTTGAAACGTTACAAATCACTGGGCCCAGATGACCTACCTCCGGCTCCTTTTAAAGATAGTGGTGACTTTCTGGTTAAGGAAATGATTACGTTGTTTACAAAGGTCTAGTAATTAGAGTGTGTCCCAACATCGTGGAATGAGTCGATAGTTGTCCCTATCTTTAAAAACGGTTCACATCATCTCTGTAACAACTATCAGGGGATTGGTCTACTTCCGATTGCGTCCAAACTATTGGCTTCCATCATAATTCGTATGCTTGATTGCTTTTTCCTGTTACTCCTCGTGAAGGAACATAGGCCGCTCACCAGCATTCGCCATCCAACCCTGTCCTGGGCAATCCTTTCCAGCTCCTTCCAGTTGTTATTCATCCTTTCCATATGTGCTTTTATTTCCCGACGTAATGTGTGCTTTGACCTTCCTCTTTTCCGCCTTCCTTTAGGATTTCAAGTTAGGGCTTGTCTCGTGATGCAGTTTGACGATTTGCGTAATGTATGTCCTATCCATTCCCATCGTCTTTTCCTAATTTCTTCTTCATCTGGAAGCTGATTTGTTCTCTCCCACAAAAGGCTGTTGCTGATGGTATCCGGCCAATGGATGTTGAGTATCTTGCGAAGACAGCTATTTATAAATACTTGTACCTTCTTGATGGTGGTTGTTGTGGTTCTCCAAGTTTCAGCTCCATACAGTAAAACTGCCTTGACGTT